GTTCTCTCCTGCTGATGTTCAGGTGTATATCAGTATGTAGTGTCTCTACTTTAAAGAGTCCTCTCCTGCTGATGTTCAGGTGTATATCAGTATGTAGTGTCTCTACTTTAAAGAGTTCTCTCCTGCTGATGTTCAGGTGTATATCAGTATGTAGTGTCTCTACTTTAAGAGTCCTCTCCTGCTGATGTTCAGGTGTATATCAGTATGTAGTGTCTCTACTTTAAAGAGTCCTCTCCTGCTGATGTCCAGGTGTATATCAGTATGTAGTGTCTCTACTTTAAAGAGTCCTCTCCTGCTGATGTTCAGGTGTATATCAGTATGTAGTGTCTCTACTTTAAAGAGTCCTCTCCTGCTGATGTTCAGGTGTATATCAGTATGTAGTGTCTCTACTTTAAAGAGTCCTCTCCTGCTGATGTTCAGGTGTATATCAGTATGTAGTGTCTCTACTTTAAAGAGTCCTCTCCTGCTGATGTTCAGGTGTATATCAGTATGTAGTGTCCCTACTTTAAAGAGTCCTCTCCTGCTGATGTTCAGGTGTATATCAGTATGTAGGGTCTCTACTTTAAAGAGTCCTCTCCTGCTGATGTTCAGGTGTATATCAGTATGTAGTGTCTCTACTTTAAAGAGTCCTCTCCTGCTGATGTTCAGGTGTATATCAGTATGTAGTGTCTCTACTTTAAAGAGTCCTCTCCTGCTGATGTTCAGGTGTATATCAGTATGTAGTGTCTCTACTGTGACATGTCTCCATGCTTTAATGTTCAAAAAGCTCTTTATTTTACTTTACTTTTACATTTATGTGATGGAAATTCATTTTGAAAGAAATGATTTTTTAAATCCACATAGAACCATCACTGAGATGATAGCTCCACCTGGTGGTGAAAGACATCAATATCTACAGTAAGATGCAACACTGATGAATGCAGTGCACAAAGCTAACGCTAGCTGCCCCCCCGCTTCTCTTTTTACCTCCGAGAGGAACCACAGGCCTGATGGGAACTCGGAGGGGAGGGAGAGGGAGGGGGGGGGGGGGGGTAGATGTGGTGCAACACTGAAACAGGAAGTCAGAGCTGCAGCAGGAAGAGGCCTCAACTCATATATAGACTGACACAAACATGGGGGCCATGCACATGTTATTTCCTGTTAGAATTGTTTCTTGTTGTTTACGCAAAAACACAGAGTTTAAACAAGGTCAGAAAAATGTATTATTTTATTACATTTAATTATATTTGCCAAACTGTCCTTACATTACTCAACGTTTTAATACAATAACTTCACAACATATGATAGTCAGTCCTCAGTCGCACACTGAGTTATAACTGGTTGCTACGTCTGGTCGGAGCTGAGTTGGTATAACCCTGAATTAGAACATTTTAGAAATATGAGGAATAACCTCTTGGTTTTATAAACCGTTTTGTAATTACTTCTTCATCCATTTTTGGATCTCTGCGGGTTTTCTTTTAAAACCTTAAACCCCCCCTTGGGCTTGGTCCCTCCCCTCTCCCTCTGCGGATCTAAGGGGATGGGGCACAGAGTCGCTTATCCAGGCGGGGGAGTGCATCTGATGAAGAGATAGGTTGGTGTGCTCTCTATCTCTGTTTTCTTATCCTCCATGTTCACCCTGGACTAGAGGGAAAGCCTTTTCAGCTCTGTGTCTTACTATATTCTTCCTACCCCGTTTACCTTGAACTATTCTAGGAGAGTGTGTTGACGTTGACTCGTTGGGCCTTTCCTCCTGTACTTGTTTGTTCCCCAGTTCTTTCCTTTAACTGAATCTAGGAGAGGGCATTTAGGCCTCTCTACTTCCTTCTTTTGATTAGTTTAGTTTTTCACCCCCTTTCCCTTGAACTCATTTACACGGGAGAGTGCATTTACGTAGTCACGTTGTGCCTCTCGGCGTATACTTTGACTTTCTGTCTCTTTGGAGAGTGCTACTACGTTTGATACGTTGGGGCTTTTCACTGTTGTCCCTCTTCACTAGTATCCCCTGTCCCCTCTTTATAATTTCCACCCTATTCTAAGGGGAAGCATGATGGTGCCTTTTCTTTTCAATTTCTGGCTTTGTGTTTCTTCACCTCTTACTCGTTTAATATTTAGGAGAGTGCATTTATGTAGTCACGTTGTGCCTCTCTTCCTCTGTTTCTGGCTGTTCTTTTCATACCCTTGTTTCTCTGAGAAGAGAATAAATACTATTCTAAAAGGAGCTGACACATGGCGTCTCTTCACTTGTACACGTGAGGGGTCAGAGTTTATATGGTGAGGGATTCCATGAGCGATATGCGCCGGCCTGTGCCTTTACCTTGGACTTCTAATAGAACTGCTCGGGTCTTGATAGATTGAGTGGGGAAGTCCATGAGATCTTTCTAGAGGGTTATCAAGAATAACTTTTATCCAATGACCTTTCCCCTCTCTGTCCGTGTCGGTGTATTCTCTTGTTCCGATTAACCCAGCCAAATCTTTTTTCTTGTTTTGTATCTATATCTACGCCGGGATCCAGAGTCGAGGCTGATCCTCTTGCTGTAGTCCTGTGTCCTGGATCCTCTATCCTGAGTTCTGGATTAAGTGGTGGATGTTCGGGTCGTGGCTGAACCTGTCTCTGCGGTCCTGCCTTGGGTCTCGTCATACTGCTTCCCTGATGGCTTCCACAGGATTGTAGTTGACATCCTCGTGGATTCATCTTCTTATTACAGACACATGCATTTCCTAACATTCGGTCTATATGCTGTCAAATGTATTATCTCTTGGATTTACACACGGCATCTATTGCACGTCTGTCCGTCCTGGGAGAGGGATCCCTCCTCTGTTGCTCTCCCTGAGGTTTCTCCATGTTCCCTTTATACTGTGGGTTTTCTCTGGAAGTTTTTCCTTGTACGATGTGAGGGTCTAAGGACAGAGGGTCTGAGGACAGAGGGTCTGAGGACAGAGGGTCTAAGGACAGAGGGTGTCGTTTTTCTCATACTGATATTCTGAACAATCTGTGCTGTTGTATTTGCTGTAAAGTGTCTCTACTGTAGGCTAATTTTATTATATGTACAGAACTTTGGCTCCACCAAAAATCGTTTATAAATGTGCTATATAAATAAAACTTGATTTGATTTGAAAACAGTTTTCATTGTTTGTTAGAAAACACATTGGAGACTAATTGTTGTATTTTTATGTTAAATATCGTAACATTTCGGGAGGGGACTTCCAACTATGTAGGCTTCTTTTTTAGGTGAACAATTGAGTTATTTCTGAGCCTATAATCTGTGACTTTGTCAAGAAATGCTGAATGAAAATTGCATTTTGGAAATGGATCTATTCCATTTATTATAGGAGACCTTAAATACAGAAAATAGGAAGAAAGTACTCATGGATTTTGAGTTTTTTCGGGTGTTTAAATGTCTAACTCAACACGGGGTGAAGGTACATTTTAGTTATATTTTATGAGCATTGGGTTAGTTCTTGATAGGTAAACCAAATATCTTAAACATATTACATTCATCACATTCAATGCAACGTCCAGAACAAGGTGTTAAATATGAATACTGTTTATGACAATTGAATACTTGAAGTGAAGGAGTTCAAGTATCTCGGGGTCTTGTTCTCGAGTGAGGGAACAATGGAGCGTGAGATGGGCCGGAGAATCGGAGCAGCGGGAGCGGTACTGCAGTCGCTTTACCGCACCGTTGTGACGAAAAGGGAGCTGAGCCAGAAGGCAAAGCTCTCGGTCTTCCGGGCCATTTTCGTTCCTACCCTCACCTATGGTCATGAAGGATGGGTCATGACCGAAAGAACGAGATCGCGGATACAAGCGGCCGAGATGGGTTTTCTCCGCAGGGTGGCTGGTGTCTCCCTTAGGGATAAGGTGAGAAGTTCGGTCATCAGGGAGGGACTCGGAGTTGAGCCGCTCCTCCTTCGCGTCGAAAGGAGCCAGTTGAGGTGGTTCGGGCACCTAGTTAGGATGCCACCTGGGCGCCTCCCTAGGGAGGTGTTCCAGGCACGTCCAGCTGGGAAGAGACCAAGGGGTAGACCTAGGACCAGGTGGAGGGATTATATCTCTTCGCTGGCCTGGGAGCGCCTTGGGATCCCCCAGTCAGAGCTGGTTGATGTCGCCAGGGAAAAGAAAGTTTGGGGCTCTCTGCTGGAACTGCTACCCCCGCGACCCGACCACGGATAAGCGGGAGAAGATGGATGGATGGATGGACAATTGAATACATTCACAATCCCAGAGGAAGCTGATTATATCCTGTTCACGGAGCGTCCACACAGCAGCGTGCGTTGACGCTTGGCGCTGGGCGTATCTGAAGCTTGGGGATTTTTTGCGAGCAACGCGACCAACAACCAATCACATGAATCTCCCGCCCCTGACATACAAAGCAAGAGCAATGTTAAAACGAAGTAAACTGGATATAAAATCCCCAAACAGACGAAAACCTACCAGTTTCACCCACTGTCTCTGCCTCCTCCCTCCATGCCTCGCTCCTCCGGTTTGTATCCCGGTAGATGAACAGAGACTGATCATACAGCACCGGGTGATTCTCTACCGCTATAATTAATACCTCCATTTTTTTGGAATATGAGGAAATGACCTGCGTAGTCTCTCCCAGCATACACGCGGTTTGATTGGCTAGCGCTTGTACTGGCAGATTTGAATAAACGGGATTTCATTGGCTGACGCTTCTGCCGATACGCCAAAAGTATACATTGCTCAACTTTTGAAGCGAGCAACGCCAGCAACGCTCCACGTCGCTTCCTACAATGCAGTTCGGCTAAAAGTGAATGGGCAGAAGCGTTGGAAGCGTCAACGCACGCCGCCGTGTGGACGGGCCGTTAGATGCTTTCTAGTCCTCTATATTTGATACTGCTCAGGGACAAAAAGGTGGTTTCACTCTTCATGAAACACACATGCATCTGAGCACACAAACACACAATATGAGAAAGTAAGGTGTGGTCTGATGGTTTTCAGACTCAGGAAACAGCTGTCACGCAAAAACAGGACCCAGTGTTGCATGGCAAAGAGCAATGGAATACTTTTTATTAAATACATCATGATAAAAAACAACAAATGCAATCACACTGAGAACACAAAACAAGGTAAAGCTAAACGATGTATTTCATATAATTACAGTGTATGCTTTGTAATGAAATAAAATCAGGACATAATGTATATTGCACTTATTGCACTGTGCGATAAAGGTAAGTCAAATATTACAGGCTTGGTCTGATTAGAACAAGTATTCTAAGTAAAAGAATCCTGAAATAGTACAACAACGTTAAAATAATGATCTTAAATGCTTACAAAATTATCTGTATTTACAAAATGAAGCTTAAGCAATGATGACCGGAAGAGTAACGTTAGGTTAAGCGCTAGAAATAATGATCCACTGGACGCGAGTAAGTCTTATGAGAACTGTTCTGAATAATCTTCCATGTTGACAGCATCCAGACACCGCTCCACACATGCTTTATTTCTCTGCCTGATTCTAAAAAGACTCAGACCGTAAGAGATGGATATCGAGCAAAGACAGCAGAAGATATATTGACGAACTCTCAACAGATATGAGTCAACGTTTTCACCTTTGACACGCTTCAGCTCAGTCTGTGAAAACGGGAAGTGGAAAGAGAAGTCACTCTTTTAGCCTCCAGTGTTCTCACTCAGTTGTGTTGCACCAACTTAAAGGTGATGGGGGCCACCGTGTGTGGGGTGGGGATATTAAAGTCCATGCAGGGGGGGGGGGGGCACTCAGTCCTGAGCAGCCTGGTTTATCACTTTCTTCTTACGGACTGAGACCAAGTCGTAGAACGGATCCTTGGTGATGCTCGCCCTGTTAGAAGTAGAGGAAGAGCGTCATTATTGAGACACCAATGCTGCAGAGTGTGTGTGTGTGTGTGTGTGTGTGTGTGTGTGTGTGTGTGTGTGTGTGTGTGTGTGTGTGTGTGTGTGTGTTTCAATCAGAAATGGTTAAATATCACTGAAGGAAGAAGGTCATCTTAAAAGTGATAACTTAGTGTAGGGTTAGTTACTACGAGGGTGTGTGTGTGTGTGTGTGTGTGTGTGTGTGTGTGTGTGTGTGTGGCCTAGCATTACTATACTTGTGGGAACCTAAATCTGTTTACATAGTCACGTGTGGGGACTCGCCTCCCTTATGGGGACAAAATGGAGGTCCCCATGAGGGGAGTCATTCATTTTAGGGTGAAGACTTGGTTAGGGTTAGGCATGTGTTGGTTATGCTTAAGGTTAGGATAAGTCTCCAGGAAATGCATGTAAGTCAATGTAATGTCCCCTGAAGTGATGTATACATGGTATGTGTGTGTGTGTGTGCATGTGTGTGTGTGTGTGTGTGTGTGTGTGTGTGTGTGTGTGCTTGTGATGCAGGCTGTTCTCACACACTGCTTTACCTAAAAAACTAGATTCAAAGATTTAACATTCAAAGGTGTTATTCTCATATAAACAAAACTACATTGTAGAAATGGCAATGAAATTCTTCTGACCTGAGACAATGCTACATATAATAAAATACAAAATAAAAAGTAGTGCAACAATTCTATATACATGTCAATAGAATATGGGATATGTACAATAACAGAATTGGAATTAAATAATGTAAATTCAGACACAATTAAATAAGTTGTATTGCCGTGATAACTATTTATATAAATTAGTATGTTGCAAGGCAAGGCAAGTTTATTTATATAGCACTTTTCAACACAAGGCAATTCAGTGCTTTACAAAAAATTAAAGACATTAAAATGGCATTTAAAATCAGTCATTAAAAAGAAAAGATAATAAAATAAACATTAAAAGAAAAAATACATGGATAAAAGTTACAGTGCAGTTTAAGATATAAATAGTTCAATTAAAAGCAGCGACAAAAAGAAAAGTCTTTAGTCTGGATTTAAAAGTAGTCAGAGTTGCAGCGGACCTGCAGGTTTTAAAAGATGACAGGAGGAATGTTTATCGGGTAATGCACTTTTATCAGTTCAGGACTTTCACCCAGGAAACAGCTGTTCGTCGGGAAACTTAACTGCAATTGATTTATTTATCGTATTTTAACCCTAACTTCGCCACCTCTGAGTTATTTAACAGCATAGTTGTCTTTCCACATAGCTTTGCCATTTCCGTGACTATTTTAACAAAGTTATTGTAGTATGAGAATCAGAACGGCCTGAAGTCCAGGGCAGCTGATGTTCGCATGGATTTATAACAATACTTTTTCTTTAAAGAATCATTATTTAAATTGCACACTGAGAGGCAACAGTGCTAAGACAAGCGTTTGGTGCTTTCTCGCCAAGTATAGGTAACTTTGATAATAAGTCATTGTCTCACCTACACTTTTTTATTCTGAGAACGATCTATATTTAACCTGTTCAATTAGGGATTGTACACATGTTCAAGTTCACTGTTGACATTACGGATGTGTAAAAAGTAGTCTATCTTTTTCAATTGGGAGAGAGGTTAGAATGCACTTCGTTGACCGGACATCTCCTTCATCGTAAAAGCAGGATAAGCATTATGTTATTTTACACAAACGTTGATCCAGGAATAAACCCCCTCACGTACTGAATCCAGAAACCATTAAAGATCGAATATCAAATTTGAATCCAATCGTGAACCCAGAATAATTTCAGAATCTTGAGATACAGTAAAGTGAACTCCCCTCTCCTTGTGTCTCTGTGTGTGTGTGTGTGTGTGTGTGTGTGTGTGTGTGTGTGTGTATGTGTGTGTGTGTGTGTGTGTGTGTGTGTGTGTGTGTGTGCGTGTGTGTGTCTGACCTGATGGCCTCGATCCAGGAGTCCCTCTCCTCTGCGCTGGCGGCACAGATGGTGTACGATTGGTGCTTCCCCACCACCACTCGGCCGTCCGTCTCTGTTTTGCACGCCTTGATCTTCTGCCCTCGACTGTTGGGGTTGTACAGCTCCAGACAGTACTAGACGACACCAGAAAACCAAGCAACAATCAATCTTTATGTCTGAATGCTCTTTACCTAACTTGATGGACACCCCTAGTTCAATATCGTGTTGGAGAGAAAACCACCGTTGACACTATATCTCACCGGTTTGCGAGGATACGGCACTTCTCTCACGCAAAGGTTCTCCAGAGGGATGATGCCTCTGGGCTCTTTATCCTGCAGACAGATACAAACAAGATGGAGTGAGTCAAGTGCATCTATCAGGAGGGCAGAAGGAAGAGTAAAAATGGAATTGGCGTCACAAAATGAGAGGAAGCAGAAGAGACTGAAATAACAATAATAATTTAATATTAATAATAATCTCCACCACTTTATGATTTTTTTTAAGTACAAAGCTAACATTAGGCTATAAGGAACTACAGCACGGTCACATGACTTCACGTCACCACCGCTAAGCTAAAGGTGGCTAATGTTGGGCTATAAAGGAACTACAGCACGGTCACATGACTTCACATCACCACCGCTAAGCTAAAGGCGGCTAATGTTGGGCTATAAAGGAACTACAGCACGGTCACATGACTTCACATCACCACCGCTAAGCTAAAGGAGGCTAATGTTGGGCTATAAAGGAACTACAGCACGGTCACATGATTTCAAGTCACCACCGCTAAGCTAAAGGTGGCTAATGTTGGGCTATAAAGGAACTACAGCACGGTCACATGACTTCACGTCACCACCGCTAAGCTAAAGGTGGCTAATGTTGGGCTATAAAGGAACTACAGCACGGTCACATGACTTCACATCACCACCGCTAAGCTAAAGGAGGCTAATGTTGGGCTATAAATGAACTACAACACGGTCACATGACTTCACATCACCACCGCTAAGCTAAATGAGGCTAATGTTGGGCTATAAAGGAACTACAGCACGGTCACATGACTTCACATCACCACCGCTAAGCTAAAGGAGGCTAATGTTGGGCTATAAATGAACTACAACACGGTCACATGACTTCACATCACCACCGCTAAGCTAAATGAGGCTAATGTTGGGCTATAAAGGAACTACAGCACGTCACATGACTTCACGTCACCACCGCTAAGCTAAAGGCGGCTAATGTTGGGCTATAAAGGAACTACAGCACGGTCACATGACTTCAAGTCACCACCGCTAAGTTAACGGAGGCTAATGTTGGGCTATAAATGAACTACAACACGGTCACATGACTTCACATCACCACCGCTAAGCTAAATGAGGCTAATGTTGGGCTATAAAGGAACTACAGCACAGTCACATGACTTCACGTCACCACCGCTAAGCTAACGGAGGATAATGTTGGTAGTGATGACATTTAGTCGTCTCATTTAAAGACTTGTAAGCAACGTTACAATCTTTTGTGTTAACCACTGATATTATTTCAGGATAATAACCAAAAACACATTAAAAAAAACCTTGACTTCCAGAGGAGGGGACAGGAAGTGGTAACATACTGACTCATTTTCGGGTTTGGGGACTCAATCCTGCTTCACAGTAGAATAGGTGAATGGTAAGGTGCCTTAAAAGGAGCATTGTGAGAGCCTTACAGTGGTGAACTCAAAGTAGTAGAAACAGTTGTCGGTCAGGATGAACCATCGCCTCTTCCACGTCTTTACCCGACCTCCTGAAATATAGAGAAAGCACAACATGAAGATGTTTATGTGCACTAAATGCTCTGTTGTCAGTTTGGTTCCTGGACATTCAAAATAACTTTTGAGGTGATGTGTTTGAAGACAAGCTTCTGCATAACCTAACTCTGAAAGTATGTGGTTTGCATGCAGAGACGTAAAGTTATACTCCGTTGTTGGGTAACTTTCTGATCGCTTCCTCTGTACTTTCCTGTTCTTAGCCTCATTAAGTTAAATACAAGGCAGAGCACATTCAAACCGCTTCTCAATTGGGTTAGACACTTTGGTTTAGCATCACTAATGAATAACAACAATTAATTTAAACTGATTATTTTGGAGAGGTGCTTTACCGAGTTTAAGGAGCCAGCCTTCTCTGTCCGGGTTGAAGAAGGTGTGAGTCAGATCATTCCCATCATCCTCTGGGATTTTGAAAGGCTCGTTGCGAATGCTCTCGTACAGTTTCTGAGTCGAAAGAAGGGAGTTGAATGGGTTAAAGTGTGTGCTATCATTCAATGTCTTGTTCCATTTCTATTTTCTACCATACATTGTTGGCTTGACATCAATCAGAAGAACCAATCATTTAATGCACAAATGGGGGAACAAATTGTTAGATAAATGAAATGTCTGCGTGAGGCTGTGGTGATGAGAGGCCCTGAGTCATCTCTTTGTGATTGTTGGAATTTGACTTGGTGTCGTGGTGCATACATAGAAGTTAAACAAAAACAAAAAAACAGATTTTAAGAAAACTAAAATGATATTACAAAAAAATAAGAAAAAATATAGTAAAATAGAAAACAAATTAAAGCAGTATTTACATTGAAATAGAATGCAATGAAATAGAAAATATGTGCAGTAATGGCCCGTCCACACAGCGGCGTGCGTTGGCGCTTGCCGGCGCGCGTGTCTGACACTCGACCAGCAACCAATCACATAAATCTCCCGCCCCTGACACACAAGCAGCGGTTTGATTGGCTAGAGCTTGTACTGGCATATGATTCGATTTGGCTGACGCTTCTGCCGAGGCGTCAAAAGTTGAACATTGCTCAACTTTTGAAGCGAGCAACGCCAGCAACGCTCCGCGTCGCTTCCCAAAATGCAGTTCGGCTAAAAGTGACGTCACCCCATTCAAAGTGAATGGGCAGAAGCGTTGGAAGCTTCAACGCACGCCGCTGTGTGGACGGGCCGTAAGCAAACCAGATATTGTCCACATTGTGTGCATTAATGTAATAGAGTCTCTTAAGTTAGCACTTCGGCAGTGGTTCAGTAGGGACTTGGACTTCGGACTGATAGGAGGAGCATGCATATATAACTGTGTGTACGGTAACAAATGACACGTGTGCACAAATATAACTGTGTATTTGCATGTATAACAATAAAATGCATGTGTGTGTGTACAAAAACCGAGTGGAAAACTGATCTCAATCAATAAAGGTCCATCTTCTTCTTCTTTAGTCTCAGGCCTGCCTCAGACGCCTCAGGCCTGATAACAACCTGAAAGGAGTTTCTGTTCCAGACGATGTGGTCATTGTGACACGGTGGAACTGTTTCTCTTCAAGCAGAGAAAGTACCACATGATTGCTAATAGTTGTACATCGACTACTTTTGTAATTGCTTTTGATTTCGTATAAACCTTTCTGATAGATTCTTCAAGAGGAAGAGATCCCTTAATGGCCAATTTCAACATGAGAAATATTAAAGCAAGAGAAAGCCAGGTTCACGAGGGGATTGCCAGAAACCATGATATTTATTCATGAGATATTGATTTCATGTATGAGCCGAAATGCACATTAAACAACTTTAAAGATGAATTTGACTCATCATGTTGTTCTTCTAATTTTTATGGATTTGGTGATATTGTTATGTTGAGTTATTATGGCCACAATAATTGGTTATAAAAATCAGATTTTGTGACAGCCTTAATGTGGAAATGTGTGTTTGTGACAATTTTTCACTGGATTTAGAGGCAAAGCAATCTTGATTTATTCAGGCCATGATAATTGGTAATAAGTTGACCTTATATCAGAGGTGGGAAGTAACTAAGTACATTTACTTAAGTACTCTACTTAAGTACACTTTTGTGATACTTGTACTTTACTTGAGTATTTTCATTATATGCTACTGTGTACTTCTACTCCACTACAGCTCAGAGGTACATGGTGTACTTTTACTCCACTACAGTTTAGAGGTACATGGTGTACTTTTACTCCACTACATGTATTTCATACCTTTTAGTTACTTTACAGATGTGGATGAATGATGTGAAATCTAATCAAGTGTTAAATCAGACTTTAGTTCCACCTGGAGTAAATCCACCAGCTACCCTGCAGTATACAAAGCCATTCAAACTAGCTGCACCTTTACCAGCTTTGAGAACACTTTCATGATCAATCATTATAAAACATATCATATATATTATTCTGAAATGGACCAATCTGCACAACGACTACTTTTACTGTCGCTACTTTCACTATATTTAGATGAGAATACTTTTCTACTTTCACTTGAGGAACATTTTGAATGCAGGACTTTTACTGTGACTGAGTATTCCTACACTCTGGTACTTCTACTTTTACTCAAGTACAAGATCTGAGTACTTCTACTTTTACTCAAGTACAATATCTGACTACTTCTACTTTTACTCAAGTACAAGATCTGAGTACTTCTACTTTTACTCAAGTACAATATCTGACTACTTCTACTTTTACTCAAGTACAAGATCTGAGTACTTCTACTTTTACTCAAGTACAATATCTGACTACTTCTACTTTTACTCAAGTACAAGATCTGAGTACTTCTACTTTTACTCAAGTACAAGATCTGAGTACTTCTACTTTTACTCAAGTACAAGATCTGAGTACTTCTACTTTTACTCAGTACAAGATCTGAGTACTTCTACCTTAAATAAACATATTTCCAAAGGATGAAAAAAGGTTGCGAGTGTTTCTCACCGAGAGCAGGTCATTGGGTAGATCCCCCCCGTTGTTGATGCCTCTGTTCATGGAGATGAAGCGCTCCAGGGGGGTCTTTTCCTTCACGTTGGGGTTGTGGAGGCTTGTGTTGAGCATGATGATGGCAAAGGACAGGATGTAGCATGTGTCTAGGGTTATGGAAAAAGGATGCAAACAAACAAAAAGGTAAGAGACAGCAACAAAATGTTAAGCGCATAGATTATACAACAGGTTTTGTGTCTCGATTCGCGTGCATGTGCTGCTTTGAATGCATAAGTGTGCAAAGTATGGCAAAATGCAAAATGAGTACCTGGATTGTTATACTGTACAGGTACGTGTGTTTCTTGTCTGGTATTTAATTAATTTACAACTATACTGGTGCCGACAAGAAGCCTCCTTTAATTGGGTGGCCGAATCCGGCCCACGACTTCATTTGATGTGGGTTAAAGTGTGTGCTATCATTCAATGTCTTGATCCATTTCTACCATACATTGTTGGCTTGACATCATTCAGAAGAACCAATCATTTAATGCACAAATGGGGAAACAAATTGTTAGATAAATGAAATGTCTGCGTGAGGCTGTTGTATTAATAGAACATTAAGGATCTTCTTTTTCGTATTGTAATAATGTCATTGTTAGCTAATGAATGTTTCCATGCTGAACAACGGCAACATGACAACGTTTCCATTGGTCCCTCTTCTTTAGAGAAGACCAGGAAATGATGGATACACGGATCGTGTTCAAATCAATAGGCACGCAATGACTCTAAAGAATAATGATCACGCACCAAACACACATTCAAACTAAAGGAACCAGCTGTTTGGAAAATGAGAGAAGTAGAAAGTACAAGTATTTGTGTTCAACATGTAAGAAGTAGAAAGTACAGGTATTTGAGTTCAACATGTAAGAAGTAGAAAGTACAGGTATTTGGGTTCAACATGTAAGAAGTAGAAAGTACAGGTATTTGGGTTCAACATGTAAGAAATAGAAAGTACAGGTATTTGAGTTCAACATGTAAGAAGTAGAAAGTACAGGTATTTGAGTTCAACATGTAAGAAGTAGAAAGTACAGGTATTTGAGTTCAACATGTAAGAAGTAGAAAGTACAGGTATTAGAGTTCAATATGTAAGAAGTAGAAAGTACAGGTATTTGAGTTCAACATGTAAGAAGTAGAAAGTACAGGTATTTGTGTTCAACATGTAAGAAGTAGAAAGTTCAGGTATTTGAGTTCAACATGAAAGAAGTAGAAAGTACAGGTATTTGGGTTCAACATGTAAGAAGTAGAAAGTACAGGTATTTGAGTTCAACATGTAAGAAGTAGAAAGTACAGGTATTTGAGTTCAACATGTAAGAAGTAGAAAGTACAGGTATTTGTGTTCAACATGTAAGAAGTAGAAAGTACAGGTATTTGGGTTCAACATGTAAGAAGCAGAAAGTACAAGTATTTGAGTTCAACATGTAAGAAGTAGAAAGTACAGGTATTTGAGTTCAACATGTAAGAAGTAGAAAGTACAGGTATTTGGGTTCAACATGTAAGAAGTAGAAAGTACAGGTATTTGAGTTCAACATGTAAGAAGTAGAAAGTACAGGTATTTGAGTTCAACATGTAAGAAGTAGAAAGTACAGGTATTTGTGTTCAACATGTAAGAAGTAGAAAGTACAGGTATTTGTGTTCAACATGTAAGAAGCAGAAAGTACAAGTATTTGAGTTCAACATGTAAGAAGTAGAAAAGTACAGGTATTTGAGTTCAACATGTAAGAAGCAGAAAGTACAAGTATTTGAGTTCAACATGTAAGAAGTAGAAAGTACAGGTATTTGTGTTCAACATGTAAGAAGTAGAAAGTACAGGTATTTGTGTTCAACATGTAAGAAGCAGAAAGTACAAGTATTTGAGTTCAACATGTAAGAAGTAGAAAGTACAGGTATTTGAGTTCAACATGTAAGAAGCAGAAAGTACAGGTATTTGAGTTCAACATGTAAGAAGTAGAAAGTACAGGTATTTGTGTTCAACATGTAAGAAGTATAAAGTACAGGTATTTGGGTTCAACATGTAAGAAGCAGAAAGTACAAGTATTTGAGTTCAACATGTAAGAAGCAGAAAGTACAAGTATTTGAGTTCAACATGTAAGAAGTAGAAAGTACAGGTATTTGTGTTCAACATGTAAGAAGCAGAAAGTACAAGTATTTGAGTTCAACATGTAAGAAGTAGAAAGTACAGGTATTTGTGTTCAACATGTAAGAAGTATAAAGTACAGGTATTTGGGTTCAACATGTAAGAAGTATAAAGTACAGGTATTTGGGTTCAACATGTAAGAAGTATAAAGTACAGGTATTTGGGTTCAACATGTAAGAAGTATAAAGTACAGGTATTTGAGTTCAACATGTAAGAAGTATAAAGTACAGGTATTTGTGTTCAACATGTGAGAAGTCAAAGTAAAAAGTCGTCAGAAAAATAAGTAGTGGAGTAAAGTACTGATACAAAAATGTTTTACTTAAGTACAGTAACAAAGTATTTGTACTCCACTACTTCCCACCTCTGAGCAGGAGTTCAGTGTATGACCTGTCCGTGTACAAAGGGAAGTGTCCAATATTAGACACAGCTATGTAGTTCACATAAATACAGAATGAGTTAAGGTAAAGAAAAAGAGGAAATGAAAGGCAAACATGAAGGTGGTCATTTTAACTCACCCCCCCCCCCCACACACACACACACACACACCCCCACACACACACACACACACACACACACACACACACACACACACACACACCACACACACACACACACACACACACACACACACACACACACACACACACACACACACACACACACACACACACACACACAGGAAGTGGACGCTCACCTGTGGACTGGAAGACCTGAATGTTGCAGTCGCAGTAGCGCGTAGCGAAGGCCTCCATCATGCGGTCGATCTTCTGGGCTTCACCAGGCAGACGGAAACTCCACAGGAACTGTCTGTCACATACACACACCACCATCACATTAACCTCTGTATGAAACATGTGGTCATCCGCTGCATGACCAGCATGTGAACTTCACCATGCATCTGGAGAAAGTGTGTTGGAGGCCCAGTTTCAAAGCACAACACTGGTGTGACTCTGTGACATTTACTCAACATACAAACACAGGATGGTCACTATGTGGGATTTTAGTTCCTTCATTTGTCATATTGTCCTTCTCCTCCCTATCTTGACAGTCATTTAATTCAACCAAATGTCTTAGTGATTGTACACTTCGACATAACCTATATGCAAGGCTTCTATTGTCATGTGTACACACTGTAGCTACAGTGTACATATGACAATGAAGATCTTAGGTCACAGGCTCCTCCATCAGTGCAACACAATACAACTGATAACATAGTGCAAGTAAATACAAGTACAATAGAATAGAATATATTAACTTGAACTTAAGAAAAAGTTCATGCTCCCTCCATCAAGTTCACTACATTTACTTGAGAACTAGAGATATTTCAAGCATTAATGATAATAGAGGTCAACATCTAGCTATGTTAGCGCTAAGGGCTAGACTGTTTATCTCTTTTGGTTTCAGCGCTTGGAAATTTGGGGTAGTAAGTATTTCACGACGTCAAACATACCTAGAATATTACTTAAGCTTGTGTTTACCACACAACTTATTTCAGGCATCATCCTAAAACCCATGAACCTTGAGAAAAGGGAAGCGGAAGTGCAAGCCCTAACCCTAAACCTAAATATGTGAAACGACTGCTTTCCCAGGCTGTGAAGTCCTCCGCATTACAAGCACATTTGGAGCAGGGGGGTCAAACTCAATTTCATCGCGGGCCACATTCGCATAAAGGTTGCACTCAAAGGGCCGGTTGTACCTATATAAATATATATATAAAATTGTGTATTATATTACATCATTGCCTCTGATTTGGATTATTATCGGATAGGATAATAACTTAGTATTTAACTACGTCTGAAAGCAGAAGTCCAGGGCAAATAATTGCAAGTCTCTTCAGTGAGCATGTCACAAAACGAGATGCATTGTGGGACATGGGCAACCTGCTTCTGTAAAGTAGCATGTAACCGTATAATAAACGTATTATATTCTTTGTAAGCTCTTGCGGGGCCACATCAAATGAAGTCGCCGGCCTTGATTTTGAGACCCCTGTCGTAGAGAGACCAATTATTTGAATGCAGGACCTTTAACTTGAACATCTTTTTACCTCGCATGTGTGATTTTAGGGAATTGGAATTACAGATGCTTCACCCTTTATAGCTGCCCGCTCATACAAACCGGTGATGAGCTCATTATGAAACTAAGCACATTTCATCACAGTAGATGTATGTAGATAGTAGATCGGATCTTTCTTCCGTTATACCATCGCACTCAATGATGTTAGTCAATGACCTATGACTTTCCTCTGATGTGACTCGTAATCTATGCAGCCCCTCTCATATCGGTAAAATCACTCTGGCTTGTGTTTAAAGTATGATCAGTGTTAGATATTCGGACTTTAGCCCTTTAATAACTTCATAAATCTGAAGGCGATGCAGCCAAGTTTGTTGGAATATGGCAAACCCCTAACCCCAGAACAAGCTCTCACTAAAACACCTTGACCACAATCTTCCAAAGTGTGATGCTGTTTTAGACAGAGACACAACATGAATGTGCTTTGTAAACTCTCAGCATTGGAAATGACTAATCAGTTCCAATGTCATGCACAAACACTTGAAGCATCCACGAACACGTCATCAACACGCCCATGACAGAAACAGATCTATTTACTATCTATTAAACAACACTGGTACAAATGTTAGTTTGAAAGAAAATACACTTCACTGATTATGTGAAGAACGTTTTCATTTTGTTTGTGAAATTATGAGTTTACAGCAGCGCCATGAAAACAAGTCAAATGATACCACGTCACAGAAAATATCAGCAACACCATGAGGTGGATATTCACTATATCTAAACATATGTACAATAAAAGCTGTTCAAACAAACTCGGCATAATTGTCGAGAATTGTAAAAATGTACAATTTCTGCAATTTCTAAATGTGTTGCTTATTAATTGCCAAACCAAAGTGATTACTGATTTTAGGAGCTTTGTGACTCTATATGTAAGTACACAGTGTTTGCATATAGCCATCTACCTTGACTTGATTCATTGTATGTTTATATATGTTTTATGTGATGGTGTGGTGAGTGAATGGACTGACTGTGGTGTGTTTCAGATGGGTGACACATAGTAGATGAGACAAGAGCGAAGGTAAACAAAGCTGACCTGAGGGCCTGCACCAGATTGAGGTCGGAGAATTCGTGCAGCTCGACAAAGGCCTTGAGGGTCTGGAGGTGGAGCTCCTCCCTGGGGGACAGGTGGGGGGAGGAAAGCACATTAAACCAGAGGAAGGCATTCACTTTATCTCTTAGAACATGCTCTCAAATCTCTTACTCCAT